CAGTGACGTGACACCAGATCTGTAGTGACGTGAGTGACCTCCAGACCACCGCGACGTACGTACCGGCAAAGCATCAGTTGCTGCATGGCAACTGTCGCTGCATTTATTTTGCTGGTGATTCTGTGGCACACGTGTGCCAGATAAGGCGATACACGTGCCTCACTACATTGTGTGGTCTCGTGACCAAGACACCTACACTGCTACGTCACTCACTGCCTAACTCGGCGCTCAGAAACCGAAATCTGTGCACATGAATAAGGGAATAATTAATTATTTAGCGGGAATACATGAATTTTGATGCGTGCGTGCTGCAGCTTAGAAAAAAAAAAAAACGCCTGCTGAAAATAGCGCACAAGCCACAAATTTTGTGGCACGTACCACCCCTTTAAGGACTCCTTTTCTTTGTTAGACACAATATAGGGAGCTTGCATTGACGATGGTGTTGCTATGCACTCTGGTCAGGCAGCCATTCTTTTTTTTTTTTTTGTCATATGTAGCCAGGGAGTGCAGTCGTGTTGACGCGCGTTGACGTAGCTTGCAGGCATTATGCCAGGGTCACCGAAAGACTACATCGCAAAGATGTGCCAAAAAGACCGCGAGCGGCACGAAGGAACGATGAGACTAATTCGCGGACTGGACCCATTCCCGCTTCGTGCGGATGACTGAGTAAGCGACGTGGACTTGTGGCCGCGCGTCGACAGCTCCGATACTCACGAATTTCGTTCCGAGGACGACTTTTTTTATTACGCGGGAGTAGTTATGAAGTCGTGAAAGGCCCTCGAGGGCCACATGCTTCTGACGAGTGGCATGGGTGCGGGAGCCGTGGCTGAGGAAAGTCGTCGCCGAACCGTGGTCGTCCTTCTGGCCTATTTAAGCGAAAGCCTTAGATGCAATAGGATGGAAAGGTGGGCTAGTCGGTAATTCATAATTGTTCAGCGAACTGGGAGCGCGGGAGCAACGCTCGTGCTGTGTCCCTCCTTTTTGCTTCGTGTCTGTGTTTCTCCCGCGCTCCCAGTTCGCTGAACAATTATGCCTTAGATGCCTCATCAAACGATAAAAGTGACCGTCGGCGACATCGGTGTCTCGCTTCAGCAGCGTCAACACGAGTCATAAAAATCATCACCCGATGATGTCACCATATGATGTCATCATGACGCCACAGATCGACGGAACTTGTGGCTTCATAGTAACATCACAGGCGCAATCATGACGTCACACACGACAACGTCACATGCAATTGCCAGTTTGTATTGCTTGTGTGATCGTTGGGCTGATCACGAGGGTAGTGCAAAACCACGTGACGTACATTAAGCTTTCGGAGGGTGGCGGGGAGGATAAATACGTCAACTGAAGAAAAATAGGAAGATGACTTTTCTCTTCAAGTATATACAGTCTCAGGCGAATGCGTATGGAGCCCTGTGAATTTTCCTTAGGCGTCTTATGTCCAGGACTAGTTGATCTTGCGCGAGCAGTCAAAGTCTTTGTTGAGCTGCTATTCGCCAATAAAAAACAAACAGGAAAGCTATACGGCATAGGGCAGTTCACTGGATGAAATGACAAACACAAGTCGTTCGTGTTCGTCGTATTATCCGGTGCACGCTACCATGCGCCGTAGCTATAATGATCAACCATAGGTCACATGTACACTTAAGAACAAAAACTATCCTACTAACACCTAAATTCACGAATGAAGGACCAATTGACACATGCAAAACTATGCTTGGCACGCATGCGCGGATTTTTTTCTTCCGGTATGAAGGTGTGTGCTGTTTGTTGCACTGTAAGTCATTGTGAATGCTCTCTGCACATATTATATATTCCTGAGGGCACGACGAAGAACTGTCATGGATAAGCATTACACTTGTTTAGGTAATTTTAGCATACGTTAGTCGCCTGGCGCGAATGCCTTCAACGAAGCGCGTGCTATATTCGCGAAAGGGCGTCTGATACGCAGGAGTAAGGTACGTAGCGCCACGATTGAAAAGGGAGTGCGAAGGAAAAGAGACTGATGAAGAACGATGAGTGACAGAGGAGATAGTAATTGTTCGGGTGTAACGTTCCAAACCAGCCATATAATTACGAGAGGCACCGTAATATAGGCACACGGGCCTCGAGCATTTTCCCTTTTATCGAAAATGCTCGAGTGGCTGGGATACGATCCCGCGACGTGCGGTTAAGCAGCCTAGTGCCTTGGCCACTAGATCACCGAGGAAAGAAGAGGCCGCTTGCATGAATGGTGGCTACGCCACTCTAGCTACGCTATGGACTCTGGGTAGGCAGCCATTTTTTTGTCAGAGGAGGTCGTGGCCGGGGAGTGCAGCAGCGGCGTCGTGTTTGCGAGCGTCGGCGTAGCTTGCAGGCGTGATCGAGTGCGATGGCGACGCAAATTTAACTCTAAGAAGCTTCGTGCTCGATATCAGCCTCACCGCAAGACCATGCCGCCACGCTGTGCCCGAAAGACCTCGAGCGGTACGAAGAAGAGACGAGAATTTGCTCCAAGTGATCCATTCACGCTTTGTGCGGGTGACTGTGTAAGCGACGTGTACTTGTGGCGGCGCGTCGACAGCTTCGATATTCATGAATTTTTCGTTCTGAAGACGAGTTTGAAAACCCGGGAGCAGATGAAGCCCAGAAAGGCCCCCAAGAGTCACAAGTTTGTCTAGAGTGGCCGGGTACGGGAGCCGTGGGTGAAAAAAGTCGCCGCCGACATTGTGGTCGCCGTCACTCAAGTATAAGGCGTGTTAAATTGAGGAGCGCTCTTCTCGTGCACGTGCGTCGTACTCTTCGTAGAATGACAGCGCAGTGGGATGCGAGCTCGCTTCGCTGTTCCCGGCCATGCATGTGCAATGCACGGCAAGATGTACCTCGCCATCACTCTTGCCCAAGAACAAGACGTCGACCGGGTCTTGTTAACACACTGGAAGTTTAACCTGAACAGAAACGAACATTAGCATCTACGGCAAAATCAAGTAATTTAACACCCCTTACTTGAGTGACGACGATCACGGTATCAGCGGCGAATTTCTTCATTCAGGACTCCCACAACCAGCCACTCGTCAGTAATGCTGTGGCCCAATTGCCTTTCTTGACTTCAACAGCTCTTGGGTAATCAAACTCGTCCTCGGAACGAGAAATTCATGAATATCGGAGCTGTCGACGCGCGGCCACAGGTGCACGTCGCTTACACAGTCAGCCGCACGAAGCGTGAATGGGTTCACTCGGAGCGAATTCTCGTCTCTTCTTCGTACCGCTCGAGGTCTTCCTGCCCCAGCGTTGCGGTGTAGTCTTCCGGTTAGGCTGGCATCGTGCATGATTCTTCTTGGAGATGAATTTTCGTCGCGCTCACACTCGATCACGCCTGCAAGCTACGCCAACGCTCGCAAACACGACTGTGCTGCTGCACTTTCCAACCACCTCTGACAAAAAAAAAATGGCTGCCTACTCAGAGTGGAAAGCGTCACCACCGTTCATGCAAGCTCCATATACCTCACGAAGTTTAGGTTTTAGCCATGCGCCCGTTTGATCTTCCCACCAGGCCTAAAGGGGCAAACAACCTCATGTAGCTCCCTGCAGACTACACGTTTGTCGACTGTCGTAACAATTAGGCAGCGACGCGATAAAAACGCACCAAGAAGTTACGCGCACGTCGCACAGTTAGCGAATACAAGCCGTATTTGTTTACATCAAATATATTGACGTCATGTATCGGCAGTTCGGTAAACAAAGCGGTAGGAACTTCCTCTGGTTTTAGGGTACAGTGCTGGATTATAAATACATCTAACGGTGGATTTATAACTACAGCAATAAGGAGGTTTTTGAATGTCCTTTCACGTGCCACGCTGTTCCAGAGTCGGTGATACTTGTCCGAAGTCTGCAACAGAGCGAAGACCGAGAACTTTGTAGCACTATAGCTGCCGTACCATGTCACTGTGCATCTCAAGCGATTATCCCCAATCGTGACACGTGAAGACAAGTTATTTTTGCCACCTGCGAATCTGTCGCGAGATCTGCCTGTTTATGGACTTGTGTAGTCACGAAATAAGCTTGTTCGTCGCCCGTTTCCGGTATCATTTGAGGAAGTAATTCAGCCGAAATTGACAGCTCTGACTTACGTTGGGCATGCAGTCTGTGGCAGTACCCGGAACGTAATTATTGCTAACGGAACAATGCAAACGAGGAGGCGTAAAATAAAATGACGCGTGTTCAAGTCATATGAACAAGCAGCGACCGGCACGTACACTCTATGTGCCTACTTAATGATTTCCACTTATGATTAGTATACTGTATGGGGGTTCTGTGTCCCAAAACTTGTTTATGAGGTACGTCTAGAGTGCCTAGGATATTCTAGTACGTCGTTGTGAAGGGCTCCGGAAATATCGACCATCTGGTGTTCTTTAGCGTGGACACACATCGCGTGCTGTTGAATTGCGCAAACAAGGCAGGGTATGAAAGAAGAGACGATGGCACAGAGGACGCAGACTGCCAAAGTTGGTAGTTTGCTCTCTGTGTCTCTTCCTTTATTTCCCGTCTTATTCGCGCAATTCAACACTTATGATCATGAACCAACAAGTTCAGCTGTTAGCCATCCCGAACTCTACAATTTAACCTCCACCGTAAGTGCGACCTTTGGGCCGGTAGCCATGCACTGTAGCCAGTGATCAATAGTGGTGGACTTCACTTATAATTGGCATTACGGACAGAAGAGCGGCTTTGAATTCACACTATTACGTAGTCTGTCACGCAAGCATTATTCTGGATGCACAACTGTGCAAGTGTAATTAACATTCGAGATAGAATGAGGCGTTGAATGCGTTTATTTGTACGACAAGTGTTCCCAGCAATACAAGTGGTCGTCATCAAGCGTTAAAAGTGACGTATATGACGCTTTGAACTGTGTACATTGAAGATTATGACATGTCAGAGACAAGCAGAGCGGGCGGCGATAACAGCGTACAGTGATTTGAACCAAGAAGCAACTGCCATACGTGTCAAGGGATGTTCTACTGCAGTTCCTGCCGAAGAGAATCAGGTGGCGGCCTCGTGGAACGAAGAGCGAATTCGATAACGCCGGCGCTGAAGCCGATCAAGCTGCTCGTGAACAGTGGCGGATCATCGACAAGCCCTCCGTACACCGTCCAAAGTCCGAAAATGACGATTTTCCAGAGGCTGATCTGCAGCCGCGTGAACATAGTGACGGAAGGAATAACTGGCACCAGGTGGTACGCCACCGAAAAAATGAACGCCACCTTACCCAGCTGCTCTGTTTCCATCATGGATGGCACATGGTACATCAGCAGAAGCACCGCCGCCAGTGGCGAACCCGTGTAGGCGCCTTCAGCGAAGACGCGGTGCATCGTCGCGTTGACGGTCGTCACGATGAGTCCGAAGGCGCCCACGAGCGTCACTCTGGTGTCGCCAACGTCGTGGCCGTAAAGCAGCCAGAAGAGTGTGCAGAGGATGCCAACAACTAGAGGCGAGAATGCGACGTCGGTGGAGCTTGTGGCACGACAGATTCGCCTCGAAATGGACAGGCTGCACACGAAGCTGGCGATAGTCAGGAAGCTGGCGATGTCACCGATCCACTCGCCGGCTGCTTGCATGGCTGCAGTTCGGGGGGTTCTGAGAAGGTGCAGAGCGTGGCTGCTTCGTTTTAGCTCGACATTTATGCAGTTCATTTGTCGAAAAAACAAAGAGAATGCAATGATATTTTCGCTCGTTTTAGCCGGCAAGTCATGACAAATCACTGAGCGGGAAGATGTGTTATACGTGTATGTTACTGTATCCTTCCTTATCACGTATACGTGATAAGCAAGGAGACGGTTACATAGCAATAACAATCATCTTCGTTTGTCCGGCATACACTATCACTTGCACGTTATGAAAAGGAAATATGCTGCTCAAGCCTTACAGCCTGTATACACTCTTAATTATGCCCAGGTTAAAGGCTGGATTTATTCAGGAAACCATGTGAAAAATGTCAGACTTCCGGGCTATATCGAGTACTTTAAGTGGGACCTGATAAGAGTGTAGGTTTCAAAGACAAATCTGCCGGGCACGAGGCCCACCATTGGAGACACAGACGGTGCAATCTATGTGGCGTCGTAAGTTCGATCACGTGATTCCACCTTGCTCTGGCGGGCTCAGGGGGCTGTTTGACTGGCTGACTGGAGGGGGCTGTTTGACGCGCACTATCTTGACATGCAACAGCAGACGACTCACGTCATTGTACGTGTTCAGTTCAGCCCCCACGAAACACTAAACCTCTGAAAAACGTCTCAAGACAGCTATAGACGTATATTGGTCTAAGGAAAACCTAAAATATACAGTTTTTTGTCAAAATAAACGTTTCGAGCTGTTTATTAGCATTTTAACAGGTATGGCATAGCAGGGCCTAGATACCACCTTTTCCAAATAACGTGCATCCCGCAACAAAGATCCAAGAATTAGTGGAGCCAGAGCTATGCTTTCAAGTTTTGGACACAAGCAAGAGATGATCTTTGTCAATTGCGCGCGCTATCGAGACCGTCACCGTTGTGTGTAGGGGTTGTAGACCATGCGCACAAATGTATAACCACTGCTTCGATCAACTACAGGCACGCGAAAGCAGCTACCGTTCTGGCCATCACTCTCGGCTGGATTTCACCGTAGATGTCGGCGTCCCTCACCGTATATGTATATATTTATTTATTTAATACATACTGCCAATCCCATTAGGGAATATTGCAGGAAGGGCACAGCTTATAAGTATAACGAAATTAAAAAAATATCAAAGAAGAATTCATGAAAAATAACAACATTTTGTTTGCTAACGGCAATGTAATAAGCAATGTAACAATCACCTATGCAAATACAGAACTGTAAAGCCGAACTTTAGAACACTGACACATAATAGCACATCAATATAGTTACTATTAGGTTATGCAATCAGTCACATATAAGCTGAACCATAAGCTTCAAGCTGAACCAAAAATAAGCTGTACCAAAAAGAAGTACAAAAAAGGCATACTCTGCGATTGTAGTTAGTGGAATGCGGGTAGAAGTACTAAGGGTAATATCAAACGTTAAAGAATAGTGCAAAATGTTTGTAGTTCTATGTGTGTGTGTCATGTAAGTATTTTTCAAGCAGTGATTGAAAAGTGGTTGCTGAGTAGGTATTGGCAATAGTGTAAGGTAAGTTGCTCCACTGCCTTATGACTAGCGGGAAGAAGGAGTATTTAAAACAATTAGTAATAAAGCGGTATTCATTTTTCGTGTATGAATGATTTAGCATAGTTATTCTTTTGTCTACAATAGAGATGTATTCAGAACTGTCAATATTTAGCTTGTTATGAATTAGTAGATGAAGTAATTTCAATCATGCCAGCGTAGAGCGGTTTTAAATTGTAAGTTATCCAGCCGATTTTATTAAGGCACTGAGAGAATCTGTGAGCCGATATTTATTGAAAATGAATCTAATTGCTTTTCTTTGTACTCCCTCCACCATGGATAATAATTTACTGGTTGATGGAAAGCACGCTGGAGCAGCATATTCTAACACTGATCTAATGAGTGAATTATAAGCTAGTAATTTAGTCTCACAGGGTGCTTGATGAAGGCATCGTTTGAAAAAGATTGATTGATAGATTGATATGTGGGGTTTAACGTCCCACCATATGATTATGAGAGACGCCGTAGTGGAGGGCTCCGGAAATTTCGACCACCTGGGGTTCTTTAACGTGCACCCAAATCTGAGCACACGGGCCTACACCATTTCCGCCTCCATCGGAAATGCAGCCGCCGCAGCCGGGATTCGAACCCGCGACCTGCGCGTCAGCAGCCGAGTACCTTAGCCACTAGACCACCGCGGCGGGGCCTTTGAAAAAGAAGAGCCATTAAGTGCCGTTAATATTGACATGGCAATGGTATCTAAGGTCATTGTTATTCCAAGGTATTTGTGCTGCGAAACCACTGTTACTGGGCTATCATTTATGGTGTAAGGAAACTCATCTACGTGATGCTTTCGTGTTATTCGCAAAATAACTGTTTTTTTTACATTAAGGCTCATTTGCCAATCGGCACACCATGCGGAAACTGTTTTTAGAGCATTATTTAAAGGGATATGGTCAGCTGGAGAAGTAATTTCTTGATAGAGTATACAGTCGTTAGCAAAAAGTCTTAGGTTTACAGTGATGTCAGTGGGTAAATCATTGATAAAGACGAGAAAAAGTGCGGGAGCCAAAATGCTACCCTGGGGGACTCCAGCAGTGACATGAGTGAGTCATGTCACTCTGGTGTGGTTAATTTGTACAAATTTCGTTCGGTTCGAAACGTAGTCTTTTATCCATCCACTTAAGGGCCCTTCACCTAATGTGCACATGTGTTCAAATTTTAGTATTAATTTTTGATGTAAAACGCAATCAAAGGCATTTGAAAAATCAAGAAAAATAAGGTCTGTCTGGTTTTGGTGATCAATACTACTCGAGATGTCATGTATAAGTTCAACAAGTTGAGTGACCATGGAAGATTCCTGTCGGAACACGTGCTGCGCTGGTGATAGAATGCTATTTTCCTCGACGTAGGTGTTTTTATATTTAAGGATGACGTGCTCAAGCAGTTTGCACGAAGTTCTGGTAAGGGAGATGGGCCTAAAGTTTGAAGGTTCGGTTTTATTTCCTGACTTGGGGACTGAGATATTTTTTACGATCTTCCAATCATTTGGTAGTGCATGAGTTCCTAAACTTATTTGAAAAATGATTGTTAAATAATATGATATGTGCTCGGCATATTTCTTAAAAAACGCGTTTGGTATTTTATCTGCAGGGTCCAGGGCCTTTTTGTACTGTATATTTTCAAAAGTAGGTTAAACACAACACTTCTGGTAATGTTTAGAGGTGCTAGAGGTATGTCGGAAGAAGGTTGAAGGTGTGGTAGGTGACCATCATCCGCTGTAAAAACAAGATGAAAGTATTCATTCAATATGTTTGCTCTGTTTTCGTCTTCCCGTGCCGATTCGGCACGGAAGTTGGCTTTTGGCAAAAGGTAATTACAGAATTTCTGTGGAGACGACTTCAGAAAGTTACCGAGGTTGTTACGGAAGTAATTGTCTTTAGCTGCTTTTGCCTTCGCTTTCATGGTTTTTATGGCTAGTGGGAGCCTATTTTTCAAGCCTAGCTGGCAATTCGTTTTCAAGTATTTTCTTGGCCGTCTAACCTTTCTTTTTTTCTGGATGATGTCACGTGTAATCCAAGGATTACGTCCATTTTTCTTTGTCCGAACAGTGACATATGTATGAATGCAGTGGGCTACAATTGATTTGAATTTTGGGCAGATAATCTCTATGTTATCGTCGGGAGCGTCGGCGAGCTGTTTGAAGGAACTCAGTTCGTAAAGAAGATGGTTGAGAATGCTGTTATCATCTGCCTTGCTGAAATCGAAGAAAGTGGTTATTTGTTTTTGCGGTAAACTGGCATCGAGTAAGAGATCATAAGCTGATTTCATGGTCCGACATGCCTTCAATTAGTGCAATTTTCGCACCACCTGCTTGAAAGTGCTCACTCAAAAATACCAAGTCAAGAATGTTGGAACTTGTTGCCTGCGTGCGTGTAGAGTTACAGTTGGACAAAGTATAAATGCCAGCATCATGTCTATAAGCATATCGGAGCATGCGCTTCTGCTTTCCGTGGTGTACCAGTTTATATCTTGCAGATTAAAATCCCCAAGTATACGATTAACCTATATCCAAACACGTGTTTCTGCATGTACGCATACAATGAACGCATCACCTCGATATCAGCAGAAGGGCTTCGATATACGTGATCTAAAGCGATTGGGTGAGGACTTCATGAAAAGTATATAGTCTACATAAAACCGCTCTGCTGCAACTGGTAGAACAGTGAAAGGAATTTTCTTTTCTATGAAAATGGCTACGCCCCCGCCCCGAGTTGGTCTGTCTTTACGTACTACCGCATAATTCGGTGGCGCTATTTCGAAATCCTGAACATCTCTAGTGAGCCACGTCTCCGTCACCGCTACGAAGTCAGGCTCAATGTTGAGAAGCAGGGTTCCAATCGATTTTAGTTTCGGAAGTATGCTACGAGCATTCAGATTGAGAAAGCTTATTTTTGGGTGGGATTTGGGTGATGCGACCGCAATGTGCGTCTCTCTAGTTCCTCGTTTTTTGTTTTTTTTAAGCAAGACCTGTCAGTCGTGTTTTCAACGAGAGGACTCTGAGCGTCCCATCGGGAAGTGGAACCATTGATACGAAGTCCATAAAATGCAAGAGAGGCTTTAGCTCCTGATTGTTTCCTAGTTTTTGCGTATAGTCCCACAGCTTTTTCCGAATGTCACGCACACGAGGTGAAAAATTCTCCTTTATGAAAAAACTAGAACCTTTGAGCTTGTTACTGCTTCTTAGACCATTTGTTTTGTCAAGGAAGTCAAATATTTTCATAATGAGGGGCTTTAGAAACCAGATTTTGCAGTCTACACTGATCTTTTGTTGAATGTCCTCCATATACATAGAGTCTATCTATCTATCTATCTATCTATCTATCTATCTATCTATCTATCTATCTATCTATCTATCTATCTATCTATCTATCTATCTATCTATCTATCCTAT